CGACGCTTATTCAATTGATTACACAGGCTATAACATTTAGCAGTTAACAACAAATAATCAGAATAAACAGACCAACAAGTGATTTGAGTGGTATTGACAAAAACATGGAACTTATAAACTAACAAATTACATGGCTAATAACATATATTCGACCATGAACAGAAGCAGACTCGACCAAACAAAAAGGTCTGATTGGAGAAGAAGAAGAAGCAATGAACAAAAACTGGATTATAACTAAACTAAACACAATTAACCGTAACAAAAATAGAACAAGAAAGAAAGGAGAAAAAAATACCTTAACAAAATAGAAACTAGACGAACCCAGGTCGAACTATTGACTCGAACTTTTTGAGGTCGAACGGACCTTAATCGAGTGTTCTCAACGGAGAACACTTCGACTAAGGTCGATTAGACGCCTAAATTCCTTTAATTTCGGACAAAACCCAGGTTTGGTCTTTATAGGGGTCTTGGTTCCATTTGGGGTTCGAATGGTTCTAGCAAGATTCGAACCAGGCCAAAGGTATTTTGGGCACGAGGGAGGTCAGGGGGTGCCGTGGTGTGAGTTTGGGACTGGTTGGGGTAGGTTAAGGTTTTGCTCGAATCTTCGATGAAGATTCGAGAAGCTAGAGGTTGATTCGAGGCAAATGGTTAGCGGATTCATAACGAGGGTGGTCAGATGGCTTAAGGGTGTTAATTTGGTGACCGGTGGCGTTGTTGCCGCCGGGTTTCAGGCGAAGGTGTAACAATGGCGGCTAGGGTTTGGTCTGGTTCGTCTCTAAGCTTGAGAGAGAGACGATGGGGTGAGGGGGGGTTTGGTTTGGGGCGTGGGGTAAGGGATTAGGGTTATATACGGGCGGGGGCGTTTGATCTTGGCCGTTGGATTAATCACGATCAATGGCCTGGATCATTTTACTAATACGAAATGACATCGTTTGGCCATGCTACGAGACTGGGTCGATCCGGGGTGATATGGACCGGGTTATAGGGGAAGCCTGGGACCGTTAGATCAAAAGGAATGGATGGTTCAGATTTAATCACCTGAAACGGTGTCGTTTGAACCAATGCTGGGGCTGAACTGGACCGTTTGATCTGTTTGATCAATGGTTCAGATTTGAGACGCCTAAACGGTGTCGTTTGAGTCATCTGAGAGATCAGGCATATTGGACCGGGTAAATTGGGTGTTTTGGGCCTGATTTTGGGTCCCAAAAAAGAATGGCCCAGTTCCGAATGTGTTTCTTATTTCACTTGTTTTTCTTTTCTATTATTTTCCTTTTTAATTCCTAATTACCAAAAATTCTAAAATAAGTTGTAAAACAAAAATTAAATTAATAATATTAATTAAACCTAAATAATAATTGACACACAAGATTAAATATTAATAAAAAAACAAAATCACACAATTGGACAATAAAACGACAAAAATTGCAACAAATACATATTTTGTGATTTTTCTTCTTTTAAAAACAAAACATGGTTCAGTTAATTCCTAAGTGCACAATTAAATCCTAAATGTGCATGCAACATATATTTTTGTATTTTTAATTAATTAAAACAAGATAAACATTCACAGACAAAAATACAAACAATTATCCAAAGGTGCCACGCAAATTTTTAAAATTGTACCTAAAGGACATTTGTTTTATTTTTTTGATTTCTTTTGGAGTAGTTTCCGTGAAGCAAAAATCACGTTCTCACACCAATGATGAACCAAAGTCCACTAGTCCACAAATCAAAACCCTACTCTCAATTCTATTAGTTTTAAATCTAAAGGAAACTAATTTCAGAAATTACAGAACCTAATTAATTCTAAAATCTATCTAAACAAATCATCGTAGGGCAAATAACAAGACTTATCTAATTAAACAAAACACTGTTAAAATGCAATCAACTATAGAAATAGAAGAAGCAGAACAAGGAAAAGATTATACAATTCAAAGGAGAACATACTTAAAACCTAACAAAATTTAGCTGATTAACCTAATGTAATTAACTAATCGAGGTCATGCAACTAAATTTTTAATCTAGTCATGCAAACACAGAATCAAATACTATGCAAAGTGTCTAAACTAAATTGAATTAAAATGCAAAACATGGTCATTAATTTTGAACAAAGGAAAAAGGTCGCGGAGTTACCAATTGAGGCCGTATAAGAGCTAATAAGAAAGAAACTGGGAATCGACATAAACTCTGGTAGGCCGAAAAAACTCTGGTGGTCGTGGGATGAACTGAGACTAACATCAATTGATTCCTCTCATCAAGAGCAATCGATTGATGTAGGTTTTGAGTTCAAACGGGCCGGGGTCGATGAGCAATTAGAAGAGGATGGATTTAGATGTTTCAGAATTTTCAGATCCAAAATTTGAAGGATTTGATAGGGGTTTTGGAAAAATTGATGGTAGGTTTGGATTGAGGGTGAAGAGAGGAGTATAGGGTGTGAGTTTGAAGGAGTTTGGAGTCGCCTAAAGCGGCGCCGCCGGCAAGGGGTCTTGAGAAGGCTAGGGTTTGGCTAGTTAGAGAGATGGGAGGTGAATGAAGGGTTTGTTTTGGTTTGGGGGGAGAGGGGTTTCGGATAGTCTTATGGGATTGAGATAGGGAGTTGTGGACCGTAGGATCAAGGAAAATCAATGGTGAAGATCAAACGTTACAAAACGCCTTCGTTTGGTTAAAGAGAGGGACTTGACCGAGTAAGGGATTGCACTTGGGATGAGATTTGGACCGGATAGGCTTTGGGCCAATTAAATTGTTGGCCCAATTAATAAATGAGGGAATCCTACTTTCTTTTCTTTATTTTTTTTGATTTTAAAATTCTAATTTCATTAATTTAAACAAGCTAAATAAAATCCTAAATTAGATTCTAACTTAAATTACTTTGTAAAATTAATCTTACTTATTTTCACTAATTTAACACTAATTAATTTAAAACTAAAAGCTAAAATGTAGACATGACTATTGTATTTTTGTGATTTTTGTTTAATAATGTAATTCATTCATGTAATTAAATTCTAAATGCAATTAAGATCTAAAGTGCTATGCAATGAAGATTTGGGCCTTTTTGTGGTATTTTTCATGATTTAAAAATATTAAATATGCACAAAATGCGACTAAATGCAAATAATTAAAAGAAATTCCTAAAACAATTTTGTAAAAGTTTAAAATAATTAGAAAAAGTATATTTTGTGGATTTTGTAGGAGTATTTTTATGGGGAAAAAATTACGTGCTCACAAACTTCATGCAAGTGTGATTCTGAAGATGAATCTGGATAAGTTTCTTGTTTTTTGTTGTTGATAAAGTTGATGAGAGGAGAGGAGGAGATCTTTTTTCACGAATGAGGTTGCAGATCACGCGATTAATGCGTGATGCAGGTTTTATACCTTTTGTCAAGGGTGTAATTATCATATTATTACGGATTTTTTGTTAGCTGACTATCAAATCAATAATATTTAAAAATAGGGTATATGGTAAAAGATGACACAAATATAGGGTACGACTGCAAATCTCCCAAAATATACAAATCGATATTACTAATAACTGACAACGAGTAAAATAGATACACATCGCATAAATTCTATGCGAGGTGCTTGCTCTAATTAAAAAAATGAAAAATGGCCAATATACCCTTGTACTATCAAAAAAGATTTAAATGTACCCCTCGTTATACTTTGTATCTTTTCCGTTAAGTTTGTCCAAAACATTCAATCCTACGTGACACTGACATTTGATGAGGTGGATGCCACATGGCATGCCACCTCAGCGCCCCTAACCCATTTTACCAATCTCTTCTATTTTTTTCCACAACTAATTTTTTTTCCTCCACCATTATTGCCACAATTACCACTATCATGAAAAATAGGGGTGTTCAAATCGAACCGAAAATTCGCACCAAACCAATTAAAAAATCCAACTAGGTTTGGTTTGATTTATTTTGGTATTGAGTAAAAAAATCGAACCAAACTGACATATAAATATATAATTTTTTATATATACTTCTAAGACTTTATATAGAATTTTGTTAAAAAATATCTAGAAATATTTCTTCTCATGGGATGTAATAATTAATAGAACTATAAAGTACATTTATTTTTATTTACTTTAAATAATGGATTGTATCACTTTCTTATTAGGTGTTATTGAAACGCGTCAATCATCTCTTTGCTCTTTCATATGTCAAAATTTCTTATATCTTTTTCGAATTTGAAATGGTATTTCGATAGTCTAAAACTACATAGAACATATTACTCCATTTATGTATCATATTGATTTTTAATGTTTAGTTATTAAATTCGGTTAACCTTGAAATTGTACATCAACAAAAAATTATTGTTAGACGACTAAAAAAATAAACTATTATGTATTACACAAAAAAATTCTCCCATAAGAATACTTTAATAGATCACATGTTTGTTAATTTTTTTTAAATTTTGGTAAACATATAATCACTTATCAAAGCTTTATCTATAACTTTAATAAAGCAAGATTGAAATAATATTCATGTAACAAAAAATTAAAAAAATCCGACAAAACCGAACCAATCCAAATCGATGTAATTGGTTTGGTTTGGCTTTAATAACCATGTACACCCCTAATGAAAAATATTGTATTTTAAATTTTAGTCTATTATATATGGATTAGATGCACTGAGTTGGTATGTCACGTGACATCCACCTCATCAAATATTAGTGCTACGTAGGATTAGATGTCTACCTTGGACAAACTTAATAGAAATGGTATATTTGAACCAATAATATTACAACAAATATATTTAGACCTAAAGTATAAGGAAGTACTCCCTCCGATCACTTTTACTTGACATGTATACTAAAAATAGATTTTCATTTTTACTTGTCACTTTACGCTTAATTTTTTTTTTTCTGTTATACCCACAGTATTTATTACTCATTTTAAATTATTTTCTTAAATTTAATAAAATATGCATTAATTAATTTTATGGTAAAGGTAGAATATATTTGGCCTTTGGCGATAAAACATTCCCCCTCTTTGGCTACCTCTTCTCTTCCCGGTTGAAACCATTCCCTTCTGACGGAGTTCCCCATAGTCGACGGCGAAGATGGAAAACCGGCAGATTCTGATCAAGTTTTTGCAAATATAATCCTAAGAAGTAAAAACTACACATCCGTAGTTTTTGAAGCCAAAAAATACATACTTTGGTCGAAATTCCTAAATTTTATCGGTTAGTATATATAAGTTAAATTCTTTTTCTCAAACCTAAACCTTTAGTCAATAACTATATTTGAAAGTCACTCTAGTTTTTTCCCCCTCTAGAAACAGAGGACAAAAAGAGGAAATTGCCGACAAGGGAAGACTGTGAAGTAACGGAAGAACCAGTAAAGGGCACAGTAACGGCACTATCCACACTGTTTCCGGTGGAAGAATCACATAAAGCATCTAAGCGCGTGGAGGAAACTATCTCGGAGCAGCAGAAGCAACTGGACTAGCTCGGATATTTCGTCGCCGACAACAATAGCCTTATTAAACTTGTTCACTGGCTTCCGACCAGCTCCACCACGATATCATGGTTAATTTTTATTTACTGAACGTTTTACTTTTGACTGGATAGTAGAGTGTTATGCTTTTTCTTTAAGAGATTAATGTGCTTTTCCTTTTTCAGGTTCCGCTTGGTAAAGCTGCATTTTTTCCTGGTCGTTTAATCCACACTAGTGAATTTCTGGTAAATTATTCATTACGCCGTTTCAATTTGATTATGCTCGTTTCAGTTACTTGGAAATATTAGTTTGATTGAGCTATAAGTGCGAGACTTATCTTTTGATTGTACATTATGCTTAATGCATAATGTTTTCGCCTTTCTTTCTGGATTAAAAGGAATTTTTTTATGTTGTTGTGTTAAGAAACTCTTCTTTTATCAAACTCCTGTTATGTGCAAAGTATTTCTTGTTCTAAGCCCAAATAAAGGAGGATTGCCCCCAGATTTTTGGCCTAGTGGTAAGAGCGCAACGCATGAAGTGGGTTAGGTGCACTCTACGGGTTGGAACCTGCCGCATACAACAGTCTGGTATTTAAGTGGAGAAGGGCAGAGGGGTGGACGCATTATCCACCAAGTTTTGTACTGTGCGCTGTTAGCTCTCTGGGGTATAAAGGAGGAGGATTGTGGTATGTAGATAGTCTATAAAAAAAGTATACAACTATGATGAATGACTAGAGCGGAATGGATTGAGCAAATTCGTATAGTCGATCCCTACTAGTTTGGGATTGACATGTTGTTGATCGATTGATCGACTCTCTTCCTAGATCAAAAGGAACCATTCCTTGTGTTGAACTCTTAAGAGTTCTCTGTTTGATAAACTGAATGGGTCCTCGCTGAAATGATTGAGTTGCTGAATAGAATTGTTTTCTTTACTACTGTCCATTTCGATGGTTTATTGATATTTGATATATATATCAATAAGACTGAAAAGGTTATTGTTCTCCAATGAGGAGTCTGATGGTGGTAGAATCTTCTTTGCCAAATCATGGAATATGCCTCATTTTCTCTTTCCTGAATTCCACAATTATTTTTTTAAATCTATCTGATAAGTCCTTGCTTTAGGACAGAAATAACGGAATACTTAGGGGGCTTGTCTTTAAGTCTGTGCTGTTTACATGATCATTTCCAAGTTAAAAACCTACTATTTAATTTGCTATTTGTCTGGCTAATTTGCAAGTGATGTTTGGCTAATTATGAATGTATGCTTCATCCTTTTTTCCCTTTTTACTGACAATTCCCTGCAATTTTGTTCTTAAAATCTTTTTCCAGTTACAACTTTTTGAATATAATTTTCCACTTCTGTCCTACATGCAGGTTCTTCTAGGAGAGAGTTATTATGCTCAAAGAGCAGCCAAGCAAACAACTGTAGTCAAGCAAACAATTGAGTCACTGAAGAGAAGAGGGAATGTTTCGGAGTTCCAAGTTGAATCTGTAAAGGCTTTAATGCAAGACCTTAAGGCCGAGGCCTCATTTTTTGATGCTACAGCTTCTGAGGCAGCGGTATGCTTGTATGTTCTGTCATATGGTGGTTGAACACTTTGACATGGTAATGCTTTCTCAGACGTTTGAGTTGCTGATATGCGTAGATCTACAGTATTTGCAAGTGCTACAGAAATAATTTGGACATGACATAGTATTGATAATAAAGCTACAGTGTTGTCAGGTGCTGCAGAAACTTATTTTGTGATGTGACATGAGACAACAGGAGTGTTGAACTTGAATTTGAGAAATGCATAAACTTGATTTCTTAGTCTGAGATGACTTTAACTTCTGCTTCTCTTAAAAGATTGCAATGTATCAGAAAACTGCTTATCTGGGAATCTAGCTTATGGCAAGTCCAATTTGACGGTGAATGCTCCAACAGAACCACAAGCGGAGGAGGATGTTAAGGCTCTTCTTATAGCTGAAAACAAAGTACGATTCTGTGCCTTTTATTTGTTCTTACCTAGACAGGGCCATTGCTGTTCCAGTCCACCTGCATTACTCTCATTATCTCATTTCTCGCTGTTCCAGCTTGCTCTTTCTTTGTTTTCTTCTTCTCAGCACTGGGAGACAGAATGGTTAGGTGACATTTCTGATTTATGTCATCCCTTGAACTGCGAAAGATCTGTAGGTTGTACATGTGATCCTGTCAGCACGCTCAATTTTTCAGTTGACTTGGATTTCATTCAAAATTGTCAATAGCAGGAGTCGTTCTTGTTGTCTGTTTCTGCACGAGCTGCATTGTTGGACCAGCTGGTCTCTGGATTCTCGTCTTTGTTTTTTTTAATGAAGTAGAAGCAGATCCATTTGTAATCCATGTTAACAAACTCAAAAGAGTAATATTGTTGGTCTGCATTATGCATAAATTCTTGTCTCTCAACATATTTGTGGTGACATGGCTACAATGTCATTTTTACTTTTCTTGCAACTCTATCATTCCCCTCCGCCGCCTTTTCCCCTCATGAAAAACGTTTATATGTAGAGAGAAAAGGACTAGTGCTTATTTCTATTCATAACATAATCTTAGTCCCTAGCACCAAAGTCGTCGTGCACCGCGTTTATCTGTTTGCTGGTGTGGCAGCTCGAGCTAATTGGTTTAAGTATGATGATATTGCTCCATCATCTTCAACATAACAATACTGTATCGTGCATCTTTTCCGCCCTATATTGCCCCATTATCTTCAACATAACAATATGGTGGCATGCATGTTTTGCCGCGTGCATCTTTCCAGAGTTAAGAACTATAATATACTCTGAATGCTTTTCTTACAGGCTGCTGCTCGTCCTTCCGAACCACACTTTGACAGTGGTAAGGTACGTTCTTGCACAATTATAAGATCAATTGATATATTAAGGGGATCGGTATCTGACAATATCCTCTTGCAGGCTTTTACTGGTGGTATCATAGAACACACAACTGATATTGATATCAATTCAAGGGAGCAGTCAGTCAGTCGCGGCTCAAAGCCAGTATCAAGGTTCAAGATGCCGAGGAATTAACTGCAAATTATTTTTCTTCATGAAGAAGTCAACCGTAACAGCTTATGTGTAGTATCATAGAAACACAATGCTCCCAAGATATCAATCCAACATAGACAATCTCAGATTCAAGTTGCAGAGAAAGTAGATGCAATATTCCTTTATGAAGTGAAAGTCTAGATTTGGGAGACAAGCTTTTACTTTGGACCAGTACTATCTCATCATTTATTCAAGTGCGAACTGTTTATACTCTAAAACAATGAAGATACAGACACAATGGACGGCCTAAAAGCTTTCCTATACACAAGGGCAGAGGTAGTGTATGATTTATGGGTTCGGACGAATCCAGTAGTTTTTGCTTAAACCCTGTTTTGTATTAGAAAATTTACTAAATATATATAAATATTTAACTGTGAACCCAGTGACTAAATAAGTTATTGAGTTCGGTGGCAGGTTCGGAACCCATGAACTTCAAATCCTGGCTCCGCCTCGGCCTATACACACTAAGAAGTGGAGTATATATTAAAAAAAAAAAGAAAAAAAGAAAAAAGCAGCACCTGTACAGACTAAATGTTACAGAAGTTACAAGTTGTCATTAAAGTCATGAATTTTGTCCTTTCGCCTCTTATGATAATCTTTTAGTACTTTTTCACGCTCTGCTGGAGTTGCAGATAAGAGCCATTTGCTAAACTGAACCTCTTCCATGCCCATGAAACAGGCAATGAGGCTAAAATGGTTCTTTTTCCGCATCTTTATAGGATTGCCAGTTCCTACATTCTCCTTCCCAGTTATGGCATCTGATTTCCTCTTCCCAACGGTTGAACACTTTGGCTGCCCTGGAGCGTTACTTAGATGCACAGTGTGTTCTTTTTTCTCTTTCATCATTGCTGGTCCAAGGTCAACAATGTCTTCAAACCGATGAGCATATACAATACCTGGGCATCAAAAGGTCAAATGAGCAATAAAGATCAATGCCATTGTATATCTGTATCCTACAATTTTGTCTTTGTAAGAGACATCAGCCACTTAACTGAGGTGAAGAAAGAACTTCAATATTGCTGCCAAAAAATGAAAATGAAAATAAAAGATAAAAGATTGTCAACCATTTCAACAGCTTCGAGAATCTTAAGGTAAGAACAGTATAGCAGATTTCTTAAAAGAACTACATCCATCCTCTTAGTTCTATCTTATCAAATAACCAAGTAATATTTTCCTTCTTTCCTTTCAGTGCGATCAATACCTAGAGCTAGAACAATATTGACCTTCCTCTTCTTTTAAAGGAATTTTTTTTTTACTTTGGGTGCCTCCATAATTACCATTCTTTTCTTTCCTGTTGCCTTTCCACAATGGACCTTCAGAGCAATTCTAATTTATCAGAAACAAACGAAAAATGAACTCACCGAGGTGTTCAAGCATTGGAGCAACTGCTGTGCCCTCATCTTCTTTATGTTTACTGCTTTCAGGTGCCACCAAAGATGCTGTAGTTATTTCTTTCTCAGGAACAAAATACATCCCACTCAAATCCTGTTTTGAATGAGTACCATCTTCCTTTCTCTTCTTTTCATGTAATTCAATGATCTCACTTGTGAAGAGTTTGTCAGATAGATCTCTGAAAAGATTGCAGATACCGAATAGCTCCCCTTGAAACTCCTTACAATCCTGAAAGTTGCAGTCTGAATAAGTAATCATTTCCAACTGGAAGAATGGTACAGACAAAAAAAATCCGAGGAAACAAACAAAGAAAAGTAATTTTCAACCTGAACTCCCTCGAAATAGCGTTTTTCCATTTTTCCAGAGACAGCAATGTTTGATAACTGCTGTTTGTAGACCTGACGAGTGTAAACAAGTTCTTCAAGAGAACCAGCCGCAAGTAGGCGGAAAACAACAACATGCCGCCTCTGTCCAAATCGGAATGATCTGTCCTGGGCCTGCAAATCTTGGGCAGGATTCCAATTTGGATCAAATATCACTACACGATTTGCACTAACGAGGTTAAGGCCAAGTCCACCAGCTTTTGTTGATATAAGGAACACCTAAGATGAGAACAACTTAAAATTACAGAAATGATAAAGAGAAGTAAAGTTTAATATTACTAAAATTGTTCTATTCCATATTAATAAAGAGGAATGTGCCTGAATAGAGCACAACTGGATGCAGAGGATTGATATAGCTAACCCCCAACTAATTTGGGATTGGAAGAGTTGATTGATTCAAAAATCTACCTGTTTGCTAGGACTAGAGTTGAAGTCGTCGACTAGAGACTGGCGCAGGCCAGTTGGGGTGGAACCATCAAGCCTTGAAAAGCCATAGCCTTTGCGTATAATAAATTTCTCAAGTATGTCCAGCATCCTGCTCAGGACAATTATTTTTAAAAAGAAGGGAATTAAGACTAGAGAAAATAAGACATGCCTGAAAAGCTATGCAATAAACGCAACATATATATTTCTATAAGCACAAAACAGATCCTTGGGTGACTCTTGCTGTTTTCCATACTCCACAGTAACGGAGTTGCAAAACAAGAGAAAAAGGGCTATACATCTAGAAAGCCTCATAAGAAGAGACGGATCCTACTTATCCCAAAAAGCAAAAAAGATGGAGATTCTCATTAAAACTATTCACAGCCCTCAGGTTGTCATAACAGTGCACCACTACCAGAGATCTGATAAGTTTTTGTGATGCTGCTCTAATTCTAATCCAAGATAGGGGTTAGGCGTAGGAAAAATCAAACAGCAATTGTTAAACAATCAGATAATGTGCATCGAACTTTCTTCAATTTGGAAGGTCAGATAGAAATAAAAACAACTTTACAATTTTATAAAAGGAAAAGAGAACCCCATAAATTAAAACTCACACAAAATCAGAAGGCTAAATTTTTAAAATTTAGAGACGTCTGGTCTCTCAATTGGTTAGAAGTACTATCTTCAAGAAGAATAGTCATTAGACTATTACTAAAAATATTCCTTAAACTAGTTAGCCCATTAGTGTAATTAATTTCGACATATCTCTGACAACAAAACTCAGCTGGTCTAATATCAAATAAAGGCAGGAAAAAAGCTCTTACTCATGCACTCTTCTGAATTGACATAATGTGACAGACGATAATTGAGGAACAGAAATATTGATAGAGTATTTAAGATATCATCATAAAAGTAATCATATGACGATCATAACTGAGGACAACAACAAAAAGAACTGCTTCAACGCCTTAAGATACAAAATAATATGGAGTTTTTATCTCCATCACAAAAAAGGAGTAATTATATTTGTTAGCCAAGCACCTAGCTTTTTGCAAGCATTTGCATGTTTCAGTCACTCAAAAGGATAAAAGTACTGAATACTGATATAGTACCTTACAGAATAGCTGAAAAGAAGAATCTTGTCACCTTGTGAAACCCAAGAGGACATTAGTTTCTCCAATGCTCTCATTTTCCCGCAATGTTCAACATTACTTAAGCCCAAGAAACTCTTATTCTGAGTATGCCCTCCTACCAAATCAATGTCCTTACCAAATACAGCATCAGCAAATTCTGCATCTTTTCTCTGTTTATCTGGATCATCCCTTGGATTAGGCTTGATAAGCTCCAAGTGATTGCTTATCTGCTCAGAGAGCTCCAAAAAGTGAGGATACAAAATGATGAAAGAGGGACGAAAAATAATTTCAAAATCAAAGTAAATAGGATTGAGGGGTACCAATGTTGCAAATAACTAGAAATTCGAACGAAATAACATGGTTATGTCCACCCCATACTCAACCATACAACCAAGAATCATTATTTTTAAAGGTAATGGCAGATCTGAGGTGGTAAGAGGTACTCTTCCTCTTTAATTTTCAAGAAATGTTCCCGGGTCTTCTTTTCTCTTGTTTCAGTAACATTTATTTTTAAAAGAGGGAAGAGAGATTAAAAATCAGAATTCAGAGACCAAAAAAGAGGATCACACTTTTAACATGTTCTGCTAGACAACAATATCCACTTCTAATAGCAAGTTGAAAAGTAGAAACAGCATTGGTTGATTAATTAATTTTTGGGTTAATTACTTAATTTATGCATCACCTGAAACTGAGGGTTCCTAGATGTTCATCATTTTCCTTCTCTATGTTGTCTGACTCGTTTTGCATCTGGCAACCTAATCTCATTTTCTCTCACTTTAGGAGCATATCTCGAGAGCAGCATTTTTCCTTAAAAGAAACTAGAGAACTTACTTTGAAATTAGATTTTCTACATCATTGACTATCAAGGAATCTTAGTACAGATCTATCAAGAGAAAACCAAGAGAAAATTCTTTAGGGATAACCTGCTGGAGCTTCATGAGACAAGGAAGAACTACACAATAAGGGCATGAATCACAACCATCTGGATTGTCCCTGTGAAGGTAAGACCAGATGATACCATCTGGAACCGTCCTTCTGCAACATTCGACTTGCTTGAGAGGGCTTCCACAACTACAAGGGAGATCCTTATTGATAAGGCATCGTACCTCAGGTAACTGTAGCATTCTCTGATAAACCCGTTTTTGCAGTTCACTCATTGCACAAAATACAACATTATCTTCCTTCCCCAACATGAGATGTCCAATAGTTTCCTCCTTTATCCTTCTTAACAAATATTTGTGCAGAACTGATACTAAGTGCTGTTTTCGCTCATCAGCAACTCGAACAAATCTATCTGGAGCACTTGATCGCTGACCATGTTTAAGGGGCTCATCGTAAAATTCTCGGAAGTGTTCACGTGTCCCCAAGCAACCGGGTATCACCCAGTCGAACAGGTTGAACAATTCCATTAATTTATTCTGCATTATTGTTCCTGTAAGACCATAACGTTTTAGGGTCTTAATTGCTAAACATGCCTTGTACAGTTTTGATTTCTCATTCTTAAGCCGATGAGCCTCATCAATAATCACAATCTCCCAATCAACATCTGATAAAATGTGTCCATGGATTCTGTATGTATCAAAACTGGTTATAAGTATCTCCACTCCACGTGCTTCTAGTTTGTCAATCATTAAATCACGGTTTGGCCCGTGATAAATGCAAACACTAAATGTTGCCCACTTGGAAAACTCATTTACCCAGTTGTGGATCAAAGAAGAGGGACAAACTATTAGTACAGGGCCCCTTGTTCTTGGGTGTTCCTTCGAGACTGTTGATTCAGGTAAGTCTCCATCCTTACCAAATACAGCAGCTAAGAATGCAATGCTTTGGATGGTTTTACCAAGTCCCCTGTTCCAAGCATATGCCATAAAAAAGGAAAGACAAGGAGAAGAGACATTATAATCACAATATAAAATATAAAAATTTGACANAATTAAAAAAAAAAAAAGACATATTACAATAGCATTACTAAGTGTATATGACTGTGCGTAACATGACCCGACAGCTGATGCTCATCACTTGTACAAGTTAGGCCAACACTATACAA